AGCGCTTGCTAAACAGCTTACCATCACATCAAAGCATCTAAATTATCAAAGATAAAATGACTATCATCAAGTTAAAGGACGACCAGTAACAATTTGATTCTCATCTCTTAGGTGACTCATCTAGAAATTCAAATACAGTCTAGTGCAGACACACATCATAATGCGTGTCATGCAATACACCCGGAATCTCCAGCCGTCGATGTTGAGAGCCACCACCACATATCTCATATATCAGGCATACATAATAACTTAAACAATTAATCCTTTTACTAGTTATACTTAAGCCAAATTTAAGAAATTTAGTAGATCATAATCTCTAAGCAAGGACCATGCAGATGCGATGATTAACAAAATAATTTTCTAAGGATATATATAACAATTATATAAATAGAGACCCATAATTTGATGCAACAAGAAATTATTAGCATACAATATATAAACATAATATGTATGGGATGGTTCGGAAGGGCCAAAATATTACATCCAGCAGAAGAACAACAAATCTCAATGCTCGATCTCGTTTAATTAGGTGCCTACGGCCACTGTGCACGTGTTTGATAACAGATCCCATAGTTAGCGTTCTGCAATAGTATCGTAGCGTGCAGTGTCCTACCGCTCTGCCGAAAGCATCGACCATGGAAACACCTGCTCATAAGATAAGGGTTTCTCCCAAAAAATAAAAATAAAAAGTCTATAGGATCTACTCACATAATTTTCTATACCAAGTCTGGGGTCCATTAAATTTACACTAAATCATTAATTGAGTCGTTAATCAATCTGTTGACGGCGACCAAACCCCACTCTGAATGCCTTCTTAGACAGTTATGATCATTGTCTATTCAGTGTCATCGTCAAATCATCCAATTCTTTTGTTTGAATTTTATTCATCTATATCTGCCCCATTAAATACCACACTACCATCCCTTTGCTCTTAGTATTAAAACAAAGCGGATTTCAATTTCTAGTAGGAATCTTATTTGTTCAGTTATTCTCATGTGAATCTTGCTGATGAAAACAGTAGGGTGACAAGCCACCAAGCACATGCCAACAAAATGCAGCATTACTCTTCGGATATTTAAATAAAATTGTGTCACAAGATGTTGGAACCTTCCAGAAATACACCGTCCTGCTTGTGTTCAAAACATCCAGTCACGAGCGACAACGCAGGAGCAGAGTGAGAGAAATAAAGCTAGCATTAGATTCATAACTTCGCTCAAACAAAGCGCCATGACCATGGCCTACAGAATCTCAAATTTACTACGCCACCATGCTTCAGTACTAAAAGAGCCATCCCAAGTTAAAATTACACAACACCTCTAACATCAGAAAGTAAATTATCTCTTTCTCACATCCATAGGCCCCCAAGATCGAAGATAGAGACATGATCATCAACGACCACCACCAACCCCTTGCCATTTCGAACGGCTTGACAGACCCAAGCCCCACCTCTGCACCGCAACACGAAACTTATGAAAATTGAAGTTTCGGGGCCAATCTTTAACAGAACTATATACACGAAGTTTAGTGCATTTTTGCACAAAGATATCATAAAATTTTTATTAGAAGGAATTGTCATAACATATTCATTAACGATCACGCTGACTAGGTTGCAGACTAACAATGTCATTTCTTAACAATTTCTGCTGTCAAATGTATTTTATATATCTTCCTATATACGCATACAGTTACAACTTGTAGATCATGGTTAAAGAACTTAATGGTAAATAAAGGGCATAATAACACAAGAGCAATAGTTCGCTAATCAACAATCTTCAATGGTTCAGGAGTCAAGACAGTTTTTACGCTTTGGAAATACGTTTACTGTTGTTTTTGTTAAAAAAAAACACCCAAATGGTATGCATTTTTATGAAATTCATATTTTTATTATCTTCCAAATTAAAACAAATTGAAAAAAAATTAGACAAACCTGAGTGCCATCACGGGGGTTGAAAAAGCCGAATACTCGCCCAGAATGCCGTAACCCCGGTGGGCAGCGGAACCAGCTGGATTACTGCGTAAGAACGGAATGCCACTCTCCGGCTGCACCAACAGGCGTCACCCCAACGGAGCCTCCCTCTTCGGCACGCAGAGGCCGAGTTTCGGTGCGGGGCGGACTGCTGAGAGCCCGGGGAGCTAGCACCCACCCCCAGCCGTGCGGAAGGAGAGGACGAGAAGTCTCCACCGGCTGTCGGGGCGGAGCCGGAGCAAACGCGAGCGAAGGGGAGAAGATCTGATGGGTACTGGAACTGTGAGAATCGGACGGGCAGTTTTTTGGCGGCCGCCGTTGCAGGCTGGCGTTTTGAGGTCGAGAAGTAGAGTAGGCCGGCGCGAGATGGGGTCCACTTAATTTGTAGAAAATGGACCACTAGAAGCTTATTGTAGATTTGCACAAAATGACCATGAACTTGAAATGAGAAACCCACTAAATTTCAGGGTTTTATGGATGGGGGTTCTTCTTTAATTCATGAAGTTCATGGCCCAGTTTGTGCACCCAAAAAATTTAAGCGTTTGGTGAAATGTACACTAGATTGGGCGCCGTTGCGGGGGGTAGCACGTAGTGAAAAGGGTAGAGTCGCCCTTGTAGAATGAAATAAAGCGCTCGGCAAAGTTGCAGAGGTCAAATTGCCCGTCTGTTGTGGAAAAGCGTACAGAGTCTGAAGTGCTATGTGCTTGAAAACTGAGGCAAAGACAAAGAAACAATTACTGGTGAAACAAATATATTGAAGCGCAAAAAAAATTTTTGGCCAAATGAAATGATGCTACCAAATTACGCCCAGAGAATCTCCAACACGAAGAGAAGTGGGTGCTTTCCACTCATCAAGCCCATCTACACCACAGTGCTAGTTGACACTAGAGCAAGCTATAGGAGCAAGAGAAGGAAGGACAAGCTGAAAAGGGAACGAGTGAAAGTTTTTGCTCTCATGTTTTTTTTTTTTTTACACTCCCTCGCTATCCAATAGAGCTTCACCTTCAAAAGTAGAAGATGGCAAAGGAGACGGGCTCTATATTGAAGTGGAATCCTAGTTGTCTCTTACCAATGTTTGGTTGCTAACTGACTTAAAAGTGCTTAAAGAGCCTTGAATGGTGGGGCCGACAGTAAAAAAAAAAGGGGAAAAAAAAATAGGCAAAGAACCCGTGCCTTGGGTACTCGGGGCTCTGCGCCAAAAGATGAGAGAGAGACGGTAGAGAAAGAGTGAGAGGAGAAAGAGAAGAGAATCGGAAAAGTAAAATTCGTTTGATAAAACGCGAGGATAGGAATATAATTCTGAAGTGATTTGCTTTTTTAGCTTTGCGTCAGGGAGCAATTTAAAATGATTACTTTATCACAAGTTTACACATCTTTGTTTAGCTTCACCCCAATTTCGAGAGTTAGAGAGAAAGGGACATCGATATGTATAACAGAAAGAGCGTGGATATATATTTTGTCGCACTTTGTGGCATTAACTCTTTCGTACCTGACTGCATAGCGCACAGAAAGATTGAATAACTTTTTGAGCAGGGCCGCCGGTCAAAAACACAAACAGGACTTGTGAAGAACTAGAAGAGGCCTTCAATGAGTTCTACAGATTGTGAGGAACTGTATTTTAGCCTAAGAGCCCTCAAATCATTATCCATCATGACTCTTGAAGAAAATTAATGCGCTAATCATATTGAACTTTGAATTGCTAGCAATAGAGGGAAAAAAAAATACACGTTCTGAAATCAATTACTTTCTTTTGCCCTTCTCAATCCTACAATTTTGCCGCTATATTAATACTCAAAGCATCTGCATATGTATAAACAAACAGAAAAGAAAGAAGAGATCTTAAACCAGAGTCCTATCCTTTCCTCCGGAATTCTCACTGGCAGAATCCTCACCTTTGTTGTTTGGCCGCCATTTTATGAGAATGGTGATATTTATTGTTTTGCCACGAGCCAAAGAAAATTTCCAAGAGATAAGCGGAGCGCCTTCAAGTGCTCGCGTTGCCTTCACCTTGAGTCGGTAACAACAACTAAAAACACCAATGCAGGCATAAGGGACGTAAACGTCCCTACCAAGATCATTGTTTGTTCTCGCAGAAACCGGGCGTGGTTTTTCGCCTGTGTGACTGGCATCGATGCTCTTGAGCTGCCAGAAGCCATAGTAGAAATTTAATAATCAGGCACGCAGCAGACTGTATATATATTCTTTAAGAGGTAACAGCCTCGCCTTTGAAAAAGGAACAAAGAAGATAGAAAGCAGCAGCAACGATTAGAGGTTGACATTAACAAAGATGTTAGTCGATGCGAACGTCTACACAAGCGAAAGTCATTCATCAAGTTAGTGATTGAAGTATTGAAAACACAGGACACTTTTAAAAATAACGATTAATGATTCTATAGATTTAATTGCGTCTCCCAATTCTCCCATTCTGATTCTTCATTATGCTGTTTAAATATTGGCACCGTGTTATTATCATTGAATTCCCCCTTTTGATGGCATCCAAACAGACCCAATTTCTTCATAAACCCTTTGGCCAACTAGAACAGCTGATAAGCACCGTCATCTTCATCATTGGACTGCCACACCCAACTAGGCTGCAACTCATTCTCAAATATATGGAGTTTTAAATAAGTTTCTAAGGCCTAGGGTAGATATCACGTGCAAAATTATCAAGAAGTGCACGTTGAAGACAAAAAAGCTATCCAAAATAAATCCAAAGCGTGAGCTATTGGTTTGGCCACTACCTCACTAGCCCTACAATGGTTCCGAAGAATGCTGAAGGCCTCTGGATCTTATCCGACTAAGAATGTCAAGATCCTTTATCTTATATTAGATATAAGCCAGCTAAATCAAAATCCAGAAATCGCTTGAAAAATTTACATGTCAAACTTCTACCAAAATAGTTGCGACCAAGAGATTTTTTTCCTTTCCATTCAAAAACACTGCGAACATAATTATTGAAATAAACTATGCTAAATATAGATG